GACCGGTTGGGTTAACGGTCGGTTGGGTTAACGGCCAGTTGGGTTAACGATCAGTTGGGTTAACGGTCGGTTGGGTTAATGAGCCCCAANCGGTCGGTAACCGGCATGTTTATGCCATAGGGAGTATCCCGGTAGCGCGGGAAGCATCGTTCGCCAATATTAATTAAAGGCCTCTAACGCTGCAGGAAAATTTTAGTAGAAGATTTAGAACTATGTATTTATTTAGTTTTAGCGTTTGTTCCCGCTTTGAGGGCGTGAAATGCCATGTCATTGTCCCTAATAAGTCATTGTCCCGGCATTTCAATTGTCGCCCATAAGCATGAACCAGGCCACCAACTCACAAGCTTACATGCAACAACTAAAACCAGGCAATACTAGCTACGCAAGCTATGCTAGGACAAACTTTTGAGACAAGGCATCCTCCAATTGGCACGCGGTAAATTGACTTAGATTGTTTGCCCTGGCAAACTTATGTACTCCAAACTCATCCACTGGATGATGCTGGCTGTATTTCTTGCGTGGGCGATCTTGTCGCCGACGGGCGATGTTGTCCAGGGTGTTCCGGTCAAACTCGTAGGCGCCGACCTCATTACCGTTGTCCATGGACATTGTGTTGGAAGGATATGTTAAGGTTCAGATAAAATGAAGAAATGAAGAAGCGCTCCTTCATAGTATGGAGATGGTAGAATCTTCAAGCAACTTTTGAACGACCAGGGAGAGTTGCTGATAGGCGAATTTGTATGAAGCTATAAAATTCCTTTATTCCTTCAAGGTAAGTGAATGCTTATGTATTCGTCTGTTAGTAGCGTGAAGCTTTGAACACTCTTTGTACGGCAGATTCGGCACAATGTTTTGCCTCATTGCGATGTTGCCTGAAAATTTTGAACAGAAGGGATCACTGCTCATGCTGGTGCAGCAAGACATGTAAGGAGATGGCCTGGTCACAATCCAGCAGTCATGTATCGACAATCTCAAGCTATGACAACTTGTTACATGTGTCTGTAATAAAAAAGGGACTTTGCGATGGTGTGGGGAGCTCTTTGAGTGGTGGGACTGTGGAAATCCAGTTTGTTTCGCCTGTAACAAGTTTGTTACGGGCGAAACAACGTCCCTATGAAACGTTTGGATATGCCTATGCAACACATTTCCTCAATTTCATGAACTGCAAGTATTCTAATCCAACATCACCCCAATCTCAGTGTAAACTAGTCTCCAAATGTGCCTGCACAAGACTGTCACCCCTGTCACCCGGCATTCACATTGCCTTAACCTCCTCAAGCTTGTCGGGTTGTGACACGTGGGCATGAACCTTGTGACAATGGGCATTGTCACAAAGAAACTGGTTGCAATCAGAAATGCATTTTTGCTCATGCCAGGTTACCGACATCGGTTACCGATTACTTGGGACGGTTAACGGATAACGGTTCGCCCGGTAATCCTACCGACCGGTTACCCATCTCGTTAACTGGACCCGTTAGGTCGGAACCGGGCCGGAACCGGCCTGGAGTATGCCATTGGGCGACGGATCACTCAACAGTTGCTGATGGACGCCCACTGAAGGAAGGGTCGATAGGAAGCCAAAACATGTGCCCGCTCAGGGGTGACCAAGCGGCCAAAACTAGGGGCTTGAACTGAAACACCGGGTCTGCAACAATGACCGCTCCACGAACCCAGGTCACCGACAGCAGAGAAAATGGACAAAGACTAGGGGGGCGGCTTTTCAAAGCCGAAAAGGGGCGAGGCCCCGGTGCAGCCACTTGCAGCCCGGCAAGGCGGCCGGCGGATGGGGGCTGCCGACATGGCCCGCTGCGGGGGCTGGCACCTCCGCCTGCGCAACGGCCCGACCTGGACCATGGAAAGCCATCTTTGTCGCGCTCCGATGCAGCTGCAATTTCTCCTTTGGCAGGTTGACACAGTACAGATATAGCTTCTACATGCAATCTTTTGCAGAGCGACATATGTAGCTGTTTGTCAAACTCGCACCCCTGGAAAGCTATCTTCGCGCTCCGATGTATCTGCTATTTCTCCTTTGGCATTTCGTTATAGAATGCTTATAGCTTCCATATTAAACCTTTTGCGGAGCGTGATATGTAAATTTATGTTTAACCCGCAGCCATGGAAAGCCATCTTTGTCGCGCTCCGATTTATCTGGAATGTCTCCTTTGGCCGGTGAATGTAGAATGCATATAGCTTCTACATGCAATCTTTTGCGGAGCGAGATATGTAACTGTTTGTCAAACTCGCACCCCTGGAAAGCTATCTTCGCGCTCCGATTTATCTGCAATTTCTCCTTTGGCATTTCGTTATAGAATGCTTATAGCTTCCATATTAAACCTTTTGCGGAGCGTGATATGTAAATTTATGTTTACCTCGCAGCCATGGAAAGCTATCTTCGCGCTCCGATTTATCTGGAATGTCTCCTTTGACATTTCAATATAGAATGGATATAGCATTCAAATGCTATTTTTTGCGGGGCGAGATATGTATGCCACTGACTGACTGACTGACTGACTGACTGACTGACTGACAGGGGTGAACCCCGGGGGCTCGGCCCCCCGAAGGCGCTTCGCGCCCGGGGCCTCGCCCAAAAAGACACAGACCTAATATGACAAACAACAAACACAAGGCCGCGAAATGGAGACACACGAACCCATTCAGCGCCAAAAGAAGTACTCGAACTTAGTCCAGAACCAGCGGTGTTGGAACCGGCGGTACCATCGGATATCAAACAAAGCGAAACCGCTCCGAAATCAGGGGAATTCCAGTCGCTGGTGACACAACACGATGAAAAAACCAACTACCTGCATGGTGCCTTCCGAGCGCACACCTTCGCACAACAAATTCCTTCCTATTCGCTCGTCGTAACTGCGTGTCCGCTCCCCTGCACAATATGCAATTAAGGCGCTACCTCATTGAGGTCCCATTGCCCCTACAAGATATTATGAGCCCCCAGGGGGGGCATGAAATGCTAGGAAAGCGCACCTCGGGGGCACACGACCCCGCAATTGCAGTGCCACACTGACCGACCGAGTGCTAAGCAAAGCACCCACAAGACGACTGCACCCGCACTGCCAGACCTGCCAGTAAGGGGGGGAGATAGGTGCTCGACCCTCCCTCATCCGGCACAAACAGCTCCGTATTCGAAGGCAGGAACACAAGGTCAACCGCCAACTCCATAAACTGTTGCCACCAAGGTTGGGCCGTCCAGTACGGCACGACTAGGAAAGACACCCTAGCACTGCTTGAGTGCACGTGTTTTCCACACTGATTAAGACAACACGCTGCTGAAAGAACGGAAGAAAGGACTCTAATGCAGGATGGACAGCGTGCAACTCCTTCCAACTGACGTGCTCATAGAGCTCTGGTGCCGACCAATAACCGCGCGCCACACGATCATGCAGGACCGCGCCCCACGAATGGCGCGATGCATCAACTTCAGCAGGACCCTGGTGAATAGCCGCCGAGCACTGGTGGGTAGGGATGTCTGCCCACCACCCAAAGTCACGTAACGACCCACGGGGCAAGCACACTCGACCAGGATAACCAACCGGTTGCTTCACATCATTGTAACAATTGCGGAGAAATAAGAGAGCTGGAGTAAGGGCCAATTTGATGCTCTGTGCAAACTACAAAACTTAGCCAGCTCGCACTTCTGCACCAGACGCTGATTTTTCTTTGCCGTGATCCGCAACCCGATCGCCAGCCACCACAATTTTGCGAGCTTTTGCTTAGGCACCTCAAACACACCAGCTGCCGTATTGACAGTAATGCCTAAGTGATACACTGACTGCGACGGCTCCCACTGGCACTTGGTGGGATGACATGACAAACCCAAAAACTCGATCATCTCATGCACCCAGCGTGCGCAAAAACGTGCTTGCTCCTGGGAAGTAAACATGATTAGGAAATCATTCAAATACGGTAGTACTCGTGCACCCGGACGTGAAGGACGCTCTGTCTGGGAAACGGGAAAAAACTTGTGGGCCGAGAGCAAGGGGTGAGGGACACTTGTGACCCTTGCCCGCCGCAGCCAAAGAATCCCGCCAAATACGCAGCACATTGTGCATGTACTGCTGAAGAGATGGTGTCTCTCTGGGACCTAGCAGACACGGCCAAGAGTAATTGGCCGTTACATGTAGTCGGGAGGTCCGCGACCTGCCACCAATAGCCCCTTGCTTGGGTGTAAACATATTGAGTCTGAGGTGCTGTTACCGACACACAGCAGGGGCTTTAAGGTAGCCTGTCCTGACGGGCGGCCTGTATTCTAGCACCTTGACAGCCGCCAGTCATAACAGCCTGACATGGGGCCTTTCGCAGGCCACGGGGCGACACGGCACACCCCCTTCACACCAACATGCCCCCTCGGGTCGCACCAGGGGCCTGACTGCAAACTGCTAGTACTAACGAGCTCGCTCGGCCGCCAACTCCGCGTTCCAGGCCGGCTGCTCAACGCTCAGCAGACACAATCGCAGCTTGCCAGCCTTCAGCCTGTTGGCTTTGCGGTCTGGTGCCGCAGTCCAAACACACACGGAAAACAGCACGGCACAGCACCTTATGCACTGCCTACGGGCATTAACCTGCCCATTCAGGCGCCTGCCCACCACTCGGGGAACGACTTGGTCATGGATGTGGTCATGCGGGGGGTTTCCTGTCATAGATCTGGTCATGTTGCCTCATGACCACTCATGAGGCCTCATGACTGGTCATGTTACCGGTCATGAGGCAGAGTCATGGTCATGACAGTTGTCATGCTCCTTGCGCAGCATGACGGATCATGAATTGCCACTCATATATGTGGTTCATATACCCCCCCTGGCGGACGGTGGAACCGTCCATGGCGGACGGTCTGCCGGACGGTCGACCGTCCGGCACAGCTTTCCGGGCACACATACCAACACATACCAACGTATTTTTGCACGAAGCAAAAGACATTTTACTATAGTTTATCCTGGTGCTCGCGGCGCGCGCGGGCGTGCAGCGCGCGCAGAGATTCCTTGCGCAAGCCGGCAGCACGGCATGCAAACTGCGTCCAGATGAGTCCTTTACCCTTGCAATTTGCTGAGCTTATAGTGAATTGATTTGCTGAAGTTTTATAGTGAATTGATTTGCTGAATTGAATTGCTGAGTTTTATAATCTTTTCATGGATAATGTACTGCAATGTGCAATAATGGGGGCTACATCGATGCAAGCGGTAGGCGCCATCAAATGCATGAAATGCAAACAAAGCTAAAAATAGCATTCGGCTAAGTCAATTAGATGTAGGAGCATATTTATCTGGCGGTTTGGGGCCAGGCTTGGACCGCAGCCATGGGCGACCTGTGTGCATGGGACCCTGTGTGCCTGAGAGCCTGTGTGCCTGGAAGCCTAGGATTCTAAAAGCCTGTGTGCCTGGGAACGTGGAAGGGTGGGCGCCTGGGATTCTGTAAGCATGGGTTTCTGATGGCATGTTTACTTGGGAGCCTGGGATTCTGTAAGCATGGGTTTCTGATGGCATGTTTACTTGGGAGCCTGGGATTCTGAGAGCCTGGGGACCTGGCAGCCTGGGAACCTGGGAGCCTGGGGACCTGGCAGCCTGGGGACCTGCAGCCTGGAACC